GATATTTTGGTTGATTGACTGATTGAGATATATTCTCACTGAGTTAGAGTATCAGACTAAAATGGCACAGTGGTTTCAATCCTACCCTTACAAATACAAAGCAATTTTTGGGGGGATACACTAATAGTTGGAGCATCAGAAATACCTCAGATAGGAGTTGATGTTTGAGTTGAACTTTGAAGGAATTTACTTAGCCTAGTTTTTAAAACTGTACTAAAACTTTTGGGATGTGGTCTATGTAAAAAAATATTTATAGTTTCTCTTTTCATGGCAACCTAAAATTGGAAACTGAGGTGTCTTCCCATTGGGGAATGGCTAAACAAATTGTAGTATATGAAGATAATGAGGTATTATTGCTCTATGAGAAATGATGGAATGGACAATTTTAAAGGAAACTGAGAAGATCTATATGAACTTATGGAGGGCAAAATGAGCAGAACCAGAACAGCTTATACAATGATAACAACACTAGAGAGAAAAAACAATTTTGAAAGCTTTTAGAACTTTGATCAATGCAATGCTAAATGAAGGATCTAAAAGAATGAAGATGAAATGGTCTGCTCTCCTTCTGTCAGAGAGCTGATGAACCTATGTTTTCAGAGGTGGCTAACCTGGAAGTTTGACTTGATGGGCTACACAATTATACCTTCAGACTTTGTTTTTTAGGGTTTTTTTAATTACTCAATGGGGAGGAGAGTAGTAGGAAGGGGAGTTTAATAAAAATGTATGTTCATTAAAAATTTAAGAAAAAAACAAAATAAATGCAAAGTAATTTTTTTTGGGGGGGGAAGGTGTATACGATAGAAGGGATCAGTCAAAAAATAGCATGCTATGCCTTTAAAAGAAAAAGACACGCTTGTCCCTAGAGTCAGGAGGATCTGAGTTTGCCTCCAGCCTCAGATGTATACTATCTGTGTGACCCCTGACAAATCACTTAATCCCGATTGCCTCCAAAAAATAAAAAAATAAAAAAGGCATGCTTATCCTATGTCTTGAAAACATGTAGCAATTATATCTAGTAATCCATGAGTGCAAAAAAAAAAAAACCCAACTACATTAAAACCCTCTGTTGGAATGCTTTACACTTTTCACAGAAACTAAAATAACCTGTTATACAATTAGTCACAAATATAGTTCTGGGTTTGGTTTTTGGTTTGGTTTTTGCCCATACACAAAAAGCATTGTCTAAAACATGTCTTCTTGGGCAGCTAGGCTGTGCTATCACTTTGTTTGGCTGAGTTCATAAATCTGTTGTAGCCCGTAGCTTCCCAGTCATTTCTCTGACTCTTCTCTCCTGCTAAGTTTTGTTTCCTAATTGTAATTAAAGTTTTCTGCCACAGCCAGAACTACTGCTACACTGGAGCTGCCGCAGCCATCTTGGCTTCATGGTTTGGCAAAATATTGGCTCTTGCCATAAGGACCACAGCGCCTGCTGCCAAACTTTCCTCCTTTTGTGGGACCAAATTATGAAAACTCATTTCTGTGGTTCCAAAGTCTTCGTAGCTTCCACCACCTACAAAATTGCTTGTACTACTAAAGCGGCCTCTGCCTCCTTCAGTGTTATAGCTGCCACTCCCACTCTAGCCACTGTACTGGTTTCCACAACTCTGTTCACCATTTCCATAGCCTTTGCTTTCTCCATAGTAATGAGAACCACCTCCTCCAGAGCTACCGTCATTGCCAGATCTATTGTAGTTTCTCTGTTTCTGACAAAACCACCATGACCACTGAAGTTTATACCATTGTTGGAGTTACCATTTCCACTGAAACTGCCATGGCTGCCACCAAAGTTCCCAGAACCACTTTGGCCTCTTTGACTAGATAAAACACTAACCATTACCTGCTTAGGAAAGGCTTTCTTTAATTTACAGTTGTGGCCATTTGCAGTAGAGTATCTTTGAATGACAGAGTTATCTATCCAGCAATAGATAACAGAACCAAAGCCCCAGGAACCTTAATATTTGGATGCCTCATTTTCATACAATCTGTGAGTGTGCCCCATCTGAAAAATGGCTCCTTAGACTCCACCTATCATTTCAAACCTCAAGATTCCAGTGAAGAACTTCCATGGCTATTTGGGTTCCTTGGGGAACTATGCCTTCAACAAGGCTAGAGTGGTGGTAGACAATTTGTTAACCCTTCCTTAATGACTTATGTCGTGTTTAGTTTGAACTCAAAAGTACCAACCACCACCCAGAGTGGTAATAATTCTCTGTATCTCACCATTTCCTCTTTGTGCCCAGCTAGCAGAGAAATGTTTCCATGTGACATGTTATCAGGAAATCCAGAAATAGGAAAAGAGGTCCTCCATAATCTTTGATCTACTGACCATCCTCATCTTGTGCTTTACAGGAAAATTTCAGCCCATTCAAAGCACCATCATGTGTTACATGTGTTTTGGGCAATTGCTGAAAGAACTAACCCTATTTAGGCCTAAAGAATAGGTTTCCTCTCCACTCTGCTATTCTAGCATGGTCATCTTACTACACATATGTCCACCTCTGACTCTCCTTTTCATTAGTGATGTTAGGATCTGGTTTGGTCTTTGATGGGCTGAATGTGCTCTCCAACATGACATCCCTACTCTCTGTCCCTCTTTTGTTAACTGGCTAGAGTATAGAGATAGAGTCTACTCTGTCTTGTCCTGTATACACTAGAGTGAACTTGATCAGCACTGGTCTCCACAGAATAAAATCTATGGGTCTCACTGGGGAAATGGGGTCCTAGAGGAGGAGGTGACTACATACAGTTATCTCTATATACAGTATGAATCTTGTTTTAAGGTCATTTGTGCTATAGGACAGTACTAAAAATGAAATGATTTCAGTACAACAAAAATGCTATTTAAGAAGTGTATTGTGTTAGACTGTGGATGGATTCAGACCTGCCTACACCAGATTTTCTGTTAGATGTTCACCTGCCCATGTAAGCATTTTTCACTCCAATTTTATACAGTTATGGTATATAGCATTTGTAATATTTTTATGTTCAAATGTAGAAAAGAGATAGTCTTGTGGAATGGAGAGTGACCTGGATTTGGGTTCAGACTGCTTCTGATACTAGGTAAGTTTTCTTACTCCCTGCCTTCTTTCCTGCTGTCTTCACACATGGCCAGATTCCTTTAAAAAAATCTTCAATTGAGCCTATCATCCCCTCAAGCTATCACCCTTTACCTCTCCTCTCATGTGTTGATCTGTGAACATCCTGTGTCTCTCCGGTAGAATGTGAGCTGTTCCAGGGCAGGGGTCTGTCTCACTGATATTTATATCTTCAGTATCCAGCATCCTGCCTGGCACATAGTAATCAACAGATGTCTGTTGGTCTAATGACTTTTCTGAGAGCCTCAAGCAACTCTCTAAGACTATAAATAGGTTGCAATCTGCATACTTGGTGAAGTGTTTCTCTCATCAGACTGGAAGCTCCCCTTTAGAACTGCAACTCTTTGAAGATTAGCTAGGAGAGATTCGAGCTAGACCTTCTCATTCCTAACCTAGTACTTTGTTCTGTGCCTCTCTAATACATGATTATGTAATATTGTATGTGAATTATCCATATTTTTGTCTTACTCCTCTGCTGCATGGTAAGCTCCGATGTATCAGGATCTTATTATTCTCATTAATTCAGCAAGCATTTATTAAGACCCTACCCCAGCTAACAGTTCCTGCCATCAGGGACCTTACATTTCACTGTGAGGCAAAGATAGAAAATGAAATATAAAACATATACAAAGAAGTTTTTTGAGGAAAGGAGAGGTATAGCAATGGGAGTGTATGGGTAACAGGTTTTCTGTAAGAGGTGATTCTTGATCAGAACTTCAAAATTAGGGATTGTTTGAGGCAGAGTAAAAGAGAAAACTCATTCCAGGATGGGGAACAGCCCCTGCAAAGGAAAGAATTAGAGTGCTTGAAGACAAGTAAGCAGTCCAGGATGGCAAGAAGGCTGAGTACCAGGGGAGGTAATGTACAATAAGCCTGGGAAAACAGGCTAGAGTCAGACTGTGAATGGTTTTAAAGGCCAAGCAGAAGAGTTTGTATTTATCTTAATTTTGATTCTCTGTCCCCACCTTTTACAGGGTTTTGTACACAGTAGGTATTTAATAAATGTTTATTTCCTGTAATTTAATTATGTCCCTCTCCTTCTTCCCATTAGATGGACTGATTGGTAGCTAGCTCCCAAAGAATAGAGATTGAATGTCCTTCCTCAGACCCCAAGCGTTGGAAAAACAGGCTTTCTACAATCAGTCACTTAACTAGCATTTAGTACTTATTTGCTATGGGTCAGTCACTGTGCTAAACTCGAGGAACACAAAGAAAGACTGCTGCAATCTCCCCATCTCCACTGTTGAGAGTCGTTCCCTTTCTTAGGACTCAGCTCGACAGCCATTTCCCTTGTAAACCTTGCCTTTATCATCCCCGAGGAAAGCAATCTGGAGCTCTCAGCTTCCACCACACTCTACCTAGTTTTATCCTCAGCCATGTGCTTTTCCTATCATCCTGTGTACACCATAACCTCCTGGAGGACAGGGATTGTGTCTTTTTCATCTTTGAATTTCCAGGCCTAGTAGTGCCTTGCACATAGTAGGCACTTAAATGGTTGCCAAATTAATGTGTGCCACAACAGACTGGGTGCCCTTGGGGGTGGGAGCCCCTCAACCCATTTTCTTCGAGGGGATGGACTCCATTTCCCCCATCTGTGATGTCTCAGGCCAGGAGATTTTGGAGAGAGAAGCTGGAATTTGCTCAAAGTGAGCACTCAGTTTGGGGGCTTATTGCTTGTGTCTCCTTAAAGGACAAAGTCAGGAGAGAGGAAACCGAAATGCTTCCCAATGTCCTAAGCGCACATTTAAGCACATATTTTCCTGGTGAGCAGGCGGGGGCTTGGCCCCAGGGGCGTTTCCCCGGGATCTCTTTTAGTTTTTCGGGTGAACACGCACTGTCCCCCAGCCACCTTCTCCACCCTCTCTCCCTGTGTTAAATTTCCAGCAAGTTAGGAGAAGGAAGGAGACGCAGAACAGACGGGGTTAAACCAAATCACAAGCAGGACACCCAGCCCTGCCCCCAGGAGGGCTCCCCAAGCCGGTGGTGCCCTGCAGCACCTGTGCGTAGAGAGCCGCGCAAGAGCCAGACAGTGGAGGGGAGTGGGTGGTGCAGGGCAGACGGCGGTATATCCAGTCTGACAGAGGGCGGGTCTCCTCAGAGCCAGGCGAGGGAGGAGGCAGCAAGCAGCAGCTGCCCGAAGCAGGTACGTCGTCGGGATCCTCTATGGGCATAGGGAGCCGCTGAGAGCGACACAAAGCACCAGCTCGCGCCCTCCGCTGCCACTTCACCTCCAAACAAACACCTTCTTGCCGGTCTCTCGCCACGCCTAGACCCGCGCCTCCAGCCACCATGACCCTGAACCACTCTCCACTCAAGACCGCCCTGGCCTATGAGTGCTTCCAGGACCAGGACAACTCCACGCTGGCTTTGCCGTCGGATCAGAAGATGAAGACCGGCACATCGGGCAACCAGCGGGTGCAGGAGCAGGTGATGATGACGGTCAAGCGGCAGAAGCCCAAGTCCTCTCAATCCTCCACCTTGACCCACTCCAACCGAGGTAAGAATCCAGCACCTCCGCCCTGGACCGTAGAGGTGCACCCTTGCGGCCCCAGCTCCGGCGCTGCGGGCGGACAGCTGGACAGCAGCGGGGCTGCGTTGCAGCGTGGGCACGCCTGACCGCGCTGGGACTTCCTCGGGTTGGGAGGCGGCGGGGGGAGCCGAAAAGGAGGCATAGACTGGGTTTTTTTTGGGGGGGGGGGAAATGGGGAGGGAAGAAGTGGAGGTCAGGCATCCAGTGCCGGGTAGGGGTTTGGATGGGGTAGTTCGGAATACGCTGGGCAGGACCGGACGGAAGCTGGCAGCTATGGCCCCACAGCTCGCTGTCCTCTAGAGGCTGGCCTCGATGGCTGCAAAGAGCAGGGGAACAGAGTCTTATTCGAGTTCGAATCTTGACTGAGCCTGGTGAGTTTGTGCTAGATGAGGGTTTTGGATTAGGTGGTCTGAAGGACGAAACAAAGGTCCTTCCCAGTCTTAAGTCCAATAGATCCTGGGAAATATAGCCGAGACTGGAGCTCGGCTTTGTCGGTCGGTGTGAATGCGGAGAAAAACAGCGTCGCTTCCTGGGGCTTGGTGACATAGGGAAGTAGCCAGTTCCCAAATGTTAGTTTTTGGGATATACTCTGTGATGCAATCCCGAGGGAAGCTCTTCCCCACTTCCCGCGCTTATATTAGAGCACTGTAGGGGACATTTTATTCCGCTTTCTACCGGCCAGCTTCTCTGTTCTTGGGACAAATAGGGACCTCCCATTTGTCCTGGAAAAGTGGAGAGGAAAAACAATTTTATGCAGCAACCTGACAGTGTTTTCCTCACAAACAACCTTGTGAGGTGGATAGTGAAAATACTGTTTCCATTTTACAGATAAGGAAACTGAGGCTTTGAGATTAAGGAACTTGTCAGTGATCGTCCATCACAATAGGTTTTAAGTCAGGGTTCCCCTGACTCCAAGTCCAGTACTCTTTCCAGGACACCATGCTGTCTCAAGGAATTTCCTTTGAGGATTCGGGTTTGTCTTCAGCTGGAAAAGGGACATTAGTCCCTGGGCTTCCCTAAAGGCGCTAAGAGGGCTGGGGCTTAGAAGGTTAGTGACGTGTGTTGGGTGGTGTCCGGCGTGGACCCGCGGCCAGAAAGCACTTCATTTGTGGGGAGACCAGAAAGGGAAGTTGTGGGCTTTGAATGTGCTTTCTGGAGCGTCTGCTGTCCTCAGGAAGGGAGGGGCGATGGGGAAGGGGATCAGATTCATGATCTGTTCACTTACCGGCTCTTCTGCTCTCTTCCTTCTGTTTCTCGGGTCGCACAGTGACCTCCTCTCAGCCCCACCCAGCCCAGCGAGTTTATACTGAATGAGGCTTCTAGAGAACTCAAAGCATGGGCAAGTCTAGCTCTGCAATGGAGGCCATTGGGACGAGTCGTTTTCCTAGGCTACCTAAGGAGCCCTTCATCTAGATGGGGTGTAACCACTATAGTGTCTCCAAGATGAAGGGAGACATAAAGGAAGGGACTAAGTTGGCAATTTTCGGGAGTTTGACTGTATTTTCTATTGATTTTTGACATTAAATACAAAGAAATAGCAAGAATACCTTGTATTTAAAATGCAAGTAAATTAACATAAATTTTTAAAAACTGCATTATTGAATTTAAATCCAGTGAAGATCTGATCAGGGTGCTTGGTAGAATGACCCAGAAGTTCACATCAGTCAGCCAACAATGGAACCCAGGGATCGTCTTCTACCAAGGGTAAACCTCAGACCCGTGCTGGAGAAGGACACAGAGATGAGGAAGAAACAGTTGGTCTCAGAAAGCTTATGCTGCAAAGGAACCTGCAGTTTCTGCTCAGGTTCCTTTAGAAGCAAAGGCCAAGCATCCAGGGTGGGAAGGGACGGAAGGAAAAAAAATAGATGTTTGGGNAGCTTATGCTGCAAAGGAACCTGCAGTTTCTGCTCAGGTTCCTTTAGAAGCAAAGGCCAAGTATCCAGGGTGGGAAGGGAAGGAAGGAAAAAAAATAGATGTTTGGTCCTCATTATTGCCAGAACCTGCAGGACTCTATTTGCTCTTTACGCTTTGCAATTCTAGTCTCAAACCTCTCTCTGTTCAGTGAAGCTTGCCCCTAAAATAGTGCTGAGCCATTTGAAAATGGAATGGATCCCTTCTGGGGCTACAGCCTCAATGATTCCATCTTTACAATTCTCCAAGAAACTTGGAAGACTGGTACTGCCTTCTTACCTCAAACTGAAACTCTCCACCACAGTATGGAGATGTTGCAGCATTCACTTCTCTTTCTTTTACCTTATTTGCTCTCCCCTCAGCTCAAGGTTTTTTTGTTTTTGTTTTTGTTTTGTTTTATTTTTTGTTTTTTGACCTAGTCAATTCAATCTATTCTTACTGGATATGGCGCTTTGCTTGCCTTCTCCTCTTCTAAGGCTCGTTCAAGGCTACATAAACCCCTCTTCCTTGGAAGTTTTCCCTTCTCTGGCAAACTCTTCTGTTTGTTGATGTCTTTCCCCTAGGGGACTTTCCCACTCTAGCTTAGCTTACTCCATTGAGATCTATCTGGCCCCAACCCTCTCACCACTTCAAATATTGATTCCAATTACACATGTAGGTTACTATATGCCTGAAACTACTTGTTGCTTGCTTGTGTGTGGGATATATTGCTGGTGCTTGTATTTATATGTAAATACACGTGTATTCTGCCACCTCCGCCACACTGGGAGATTCCTAAATAGAGGGATTGGGTCTCTTCCTTTCTCTGGTTCTATCGGTTGCCTCATACCAGAAGCTCTGGGGAGTTCGATGCGTAGTGCTAACAGACTACTAGTGCTGGTTTCCTCTCTTGAAAGTTGACTCCCCCGGGACTTGTGGCTTTCCACTCCTGAGAAAAGTTTCCCAAATGAAAGACCAGTTTCCCTGGTGGCATCTAGGTTGGAAAACGTGGTTGGTTTAATTGAAGCCGGTGTTTCTGGTTTATCTGGTTCCTCTCAACTGATTTTTTGAACTACTGTTGTCAAAAAGCAACTCCAAAGGGTCCCAATCATGCAAATATCAGAGATCTGGAGTTGAAAGGAACCTGAGAAGCCATAGTCCAACCACCTCATTTTCTAAGTGAGGAAGCTGAGACCAGAGAAATTTAATGACTTGCCCAAACTCACACTGGTAGCAAGAAGCAGCTAGGATTTGAACTCAGGTCTCATGACTCCAAGTTAAATACTTTCCTCACTGAATCAATTATTTTGGGTCTATCTGTTATTCTTTCTAATTCCTTGTTCCTCTGGATGTTCCCAGAGTCTATTATCCAGTATCTGTCCTAGGTCACACTCTTTTGTTCCTAGGAAGTGAGGGAGGAAGCAAGCCTTAGTTCTACTGCATTGACTGTTCAGAGAGAGTGGAAGGATTCCATTTTTTTCTTCAGAGGAGACATTAGTCACCTCCCAGAAGTGTCTGAGTCATTTGCTTCCAGGAATTAGATGAACCTGGGTCCTATTGGGAGAAAATATAGCTGGTATGCAGAGAACGTGTTTCAAGCTTTGCCCAACTTGCTCATCATTAATCAATTTACTTTATTTCTCCCCATTGTAGGGATGAATTGATTGATATAATTCTTTTCTGAACCCCAAAATAGAAACTGTTTTTTTTTTTGAAAGGCAATAGGGTGGGTCCATATGCCTAGGGAACTTGACACTCCCAGGATGCCAGGTCACTTAAATCTTTCTCCCTCTACTCCAGGTAAAAAAGCAAACAATGAAAGATGATGTAAAAATAGTCCATTGACTGTCTTGCTAGTCGTTTTATCAAAGAGCTCGCTAACTCCCTATTTCCTGACTCCTCAAACTCTATGCCGAGGTATCTTTATGTTATTGAAGCCAAATTGGAGAGGCTAGGGAAGGAGAAGGGAAAAGGGAGCTCCGTGAAAGCATTTAGGTGCTAAATGTTTCTCTTAGGTACTGGGTGGGGCAAGGCACCTAACTCTCCCTCCCTCCCAGTCCTTTATCCCTGACCCTCCTTCACTCTCACAGGGTCATTGATGCAGACAAGGGGGTTATGATTCAGGTCCGTTTAGGCTGAGATTGCCTCCCTGGAGGCTTAGAGGACTGAGTCAAACTCACTTCAAAGAACTTGCTTGCTTTTTACCCCTATGAACTCAGGGTTCTGAGTGGGGAGTGGCTACAGGGAGCTGATCAGTTGGGTGAACGAGCCAGAAATGGCAGCTGGGATCACATTAACCAGTAGGAACACTCACTAATGGCTTATGTTTAGCCTGGAGACCCTCACCCCACCCCTATCCCTCTAAGTCCACATTCGACTTCCTTTCCTTAACTATGTGTTTAGTTGTTGGTCTCTGATCCTGTCTGAAAGTAAGAGCTGTGTCTTCCAAGGCCCATTTGTGTATTTGGAACAACTTCTCCCTTCCTCCAAGCATAGATCAGTCTGCATGTGAAGCAATAATACAAGAAGATGGGGAATGTGGCTGGTCCTTGGGAGATACTCTATGAGGAGAGCTGTTTATTAAGGAATTGTGCTCAAGGACCCAGGGGAAGCCCAACTTGGGAAGAGTTACTGTAATATGTATGTATGTATGTATGTATGTATGTATGTATGTATCTAAATATCTCTATCTATCTAACTAAATATCTATCATCTATCTAAATATCTCCATATCTATCTATCTGTCTGCCTTTTTGAAGTTCCAGTATAGATCAGCAGGGGCTCTGCATTTATTTTATTAGAGAATTTCCTAGGAAAGGGTTAAGTGACTTGCCCAGGGTCACACAGCCAGTGTGTGTCAGAGGAAAGCTTTGGACACTGTTCTCTTTGGGGCTATCTTTCAAGCATCTTTCTATCTCCCTTCACCATCCCGCTACCACCCCCTGCCAACTTTCAGACACAGTAGAATTTGTGAGGTCTTAGAATGTTAGACTTTAAAGCTAGAAGGCATCTTAGAAACCATCTAGCCTACCTTGCTTCATTTAACAGATGAGGAAACTGTCCACAGCTAAAGCTAG